TACCAATAACTGCCTCGTGTTAAAATAACTTAGGGGAAAGCCATTATACCAAGATGGATCCAACACCCAGTTCCATATTAAACTAAACGAAACTTAAGCTCAGCCAATCCTAAATGGCCAACTGAACATTAGTTACACAATCAGATACTTGCCACTGGGATAACCTAAATAAGACAACTGCTCAAACTTTAACCATCCAACTTCTCTCCTGTGCCTCCTCACACACCCTCTAAAAGCCTCCCTTCACACCCTTCCTCAGGAGCCTGAACCACCTCGATTTTGGTGCGGCTTGATTCACGAATGGCTGTCTGCTCAAATAAACTTAAACGTGTTTTATCCTTTAGCATTAGTAATAAAGATATTCAGAAAACTTGCTACAGATCCTTAAAGCTTGTTTCCAAAAAGGCATTTAGTCCACGTTTCAGCACAGTTAACTTCAGTGGGAAAGAATGCACGGCAAAGCCAACATTTGCATTTACAAGCTCAGGTACTTTCCTTCAAATACAAAACTGCCCACCCAGAATTTGATACCGTTTTAAGCAGAACTATGACATGGTGTTCAAGAAGTCAACAAAACCCCAGAGGGTAAAGATGAAAAGAATTCCAATCTGCCCTCATTTCTTCACATTTTATACTAGGATTCAGCTTCTCTAGTCTAATTCTTTAGTCATTATTAGTAGTAACAGCAGCTGCAGTTAATGAGTATTCATAAAGGACTCCACACCAGAAGAAACACTTATTCTTCCTTGTCAATCCTCAAGACCATCCTCTGAGGTGGGTCCTAACATTATGCTTCTTTTATAGATGAAAAGGGAAATTGAGGAAATGACTTGTCCAAAGCCATACAGTGGCAAAACTGGGGTTCAAACCAGGGTTTGACCACAAAAGCTGCACCTGTAACCCCTGGGCCACACTGCAGTGGTCAAGAGGACAACCCCAGCAAACGGAAAGGGACCAGCTGTACCTAGTATGTGCAGAAACTGGGTCAATACTTCGCCATCATTAGAGAAGAAAAAGGAGAAAATCAGGATTTGCTTTTATCAACATTCAAACACAGAAAGGTGGTAAACAATGAAAGTCAGCTAAAATAATTAAGAAATGCCTATTTCATGCTAATTTCCCTTAGGGGCTGCAGCTCTTTTCATTTATTTTCTTGGAGACAGGGTCTTTCTCTGTTGCCCAGGCTGGAGTCCGGAGGCACAATCACGGCTCACTGCAGCCTCAACCTCCTGGGCTCAGGCAATTTCCCCACCTCAGCCTTCCCAGTGGCTGGGACTACAGGTGCATGCTACCACGCCCAGGTAATTTAAAAAATTATTTGTAAAGACAGGGTCTCATTATGTTGCCCAGGCTGTTCTCAAGTGATCCTCCCACTTAAGCCTCCCAAAGTGCTGTGATTCTCACCCCTTAATTTTCAAGGAAAGCTTTAGATGGTCCCCATTCTGTATTTTAGGGGGTGCTCTCCAATCTGGAGGTGACATTGGCAAAAGCTGGCCTCATATTTCTTCTCTCGCGCTTCAGCAGGCTACGAATTCCTTTTTTTTTTGAGATGGAGTTTTGCTCTTGTTGCCCAGGCTGTAGTCAGTGGTGTGATCTCGGCTTACTGCAACCTTCACCTCCCGGGTTCAAGCGATTCTTCCTGAGTTGCTGTGATTACAGGCGCCCGCCACCACATCTGGCTAATTTTTTGTATTTTTAGTAGAGACGGCGCTTCACCATGGTGGCCATGCTGGCTTTTGAACTCCTGGCCTCAAGCAATCCACCTGTCTCGGCCTCCCAAAGTGCTAGGATTACAGGCATGAGCCACCGCGCCTGGCCCCCTCCTCTTAATAAGACCACATACCAATCTATAGGTTTTGCCCCTAATAAAGGAAATCAGTTACTGATTTACACCAACAGATGGCAATGTTGCTCAGTCCGTAGAATTATGAACTGAGACTCCTTCGATTAAGTTTCCTTTATCATATCAGCTAAATGCTAACTGAAGCGGCAGGGAGACTCAGCACTGGCAGTAACTCTGTTCCCCAGATGACATCCCAAGTTTCTTCCCAGCACCTCCCGAGATGTGCTTCTTCACTCCACTGTTCAGCACTCCCCAGAGCACACATCTGCGACTCGATCAGTGTTCATGGGATGACCACCGGGATCCTTTTCACAGTAAGTGCCGAAGTGTTTCCTGTCTGAAAGACTAAAATGATCTATACGAAGGTAATTCTCCAAAGCCTCTACAGCACGCATGAATTACTCCTAGAACCAGGAAAACCTACCAGCCACTATTAAAACAAAAAACAAAAAGCAAAATTAAAAAAAACCTCCCAATGGCTGCATCTAGCCCCCTGTGTACAGCAGGTGCTTACTGCAGTATTGCCTCTCCTCCCAGTCTCCTCAGCTGTCTTTACTACTTTACCTCCAACTATTTTTCCATCACCTCCTTCCCCTCCACTGTCTCACCTACCAGGGCATAAAATAGGCTTTTCACTTCCTAGTGAAAATAAGGATGGCAATGCTTACACTTTGTCTGAAAGGGGAAAAGTACACCTACTGTGTGCCAGACCCTTTTGTATGTCATCTCATTTCATTTAGTCTGCAAAGCAAACTCAGGAGGTGGTAATTATCCTCATTTTACTGTTGAGGAAACCAAGGCTCAGAGTGATCAAGCAACATTCCTTTAGGTTACCACTGTTTTCCCAGTGGCGATTTGAAATGTGGACTCAAGTTTTCTGATTCTACTTTAGCAGAATGTGCCATTTAAAAGTTAGGAAAATCCCAGCACTTTGGGAGGCCAAGGCAGGCAGATCACCTGAGGTCAGGAGTTCCAGACCAGTCTGGCCAACATGGTGAAACCCTGTCTCTACTAAAAATACAAAAAGTAGCCGGACAGGGTGGCAGGCACCTGTAATTCCAGCTACTCGGGAGGCTGAGGCAGGAGAATCTCTTGAACTTGGGAGGTGGAGGTTGTAGTGAGCCAAGATCTCACCACTGCACTCTAGACTGGGCAACAAGAGCAAAACTCTGTCTCACACACACACACACAAAAAGTTAGGAAGAATATTTGCCTTTGAAATACTGTTTATGAAAATATAAAGACTCTAAAAATTTTAAATGACAGAAACTTTTCACTTAAAAGAGATCATACTTGCAATAAAAATATTGCCTCCTAGTTTAACCATTTTACAAATATGATTTTTACATCATGTAAAAAGCATCCCTATATTTCACAAAATTAGAGAGACTCAAATTTTCCAGTTTTAAGATCAACTTTAGAAATGGGCCTCGGTTATAGTGTTACGGGAGTTAATATTCATGGGATGATTATTCAAGTTTGTAATGAGATTTTAAAAATTCAGTTCAGTTAGAAAAATTGTACATGGGAGGTGGGTGGTAGGAGGAGAGAAAATTTCTTTCTTTTTAATCCAAGTGCTTCTCCACAAGGGTGAAAATAAGAACCACATTCAAGTTAATAGAATTTTTTTTTCTTAAAAAAATTATCAATTTAAAGTTATCAATAAGTAACAATGAAACTTCAGGTTTTTTTTTTTTTTGGATGGAGTCTCACTCTGTCCCCCAGGCTAGAGTGCAGTGGTGTGATCTGGGCTCACTGCAACCTCCACCTCCTCGGTTCAAGTGATTCTCCTGCCTCAGCCTCCTAAGAAGCTGGGATTACAGGCGCCACCACCACGCCCAGCTAATTTTTTTTTTTTTTTGGTATTTTTAATAGAGACAGGGTTTCACCTGTTGGCCAGGCTGATCTCGAACTCCTGACCTGAAGTGATCCACCTACCCTGGCCTCCCAAAGCGCTGGGATTACAGTGCTTTTTGAGCTCTCCTTTACCCACACAACCACATGATTAGGTAAACAACATTAGCCACATGCTAGAAATAAGAAAACTGAAGTTATCAAGGCAAGTAAATTGCTCAGGGCACACTACCACAGGGAAGCAGAGCTGAGATTTGAAGCGTTCCTTTCTAGAAGGTTCATTTCACTACCCAGTTTTCAGAATTCTCTCTGGGGAATTAAAAGCCAAGCACCACACACTGCACCAAGGTTCTTACCCTTAGATCCATAGGTGGTCGTCATGGAATCTTTCTGATGCTGTTTTCGAAATCACAGGCACAACCAGTAAGTAAGGGGGCCTCAGGCTGCACCCCATCCCTGAGGTAGAGGACTGTGTGGGAGCACAAAGCTGGCCCTGCCTGATGTGGTGGGTGGCCTTCCTTGTTCACCACCACCACCACCAGACAACAGGGCTCTATTTCTGACTGCATGTAATTTTTAGGATAGTGCCATTTCAGCTGAGACACTGATCTCAGGTCCAGTCCTCCGTGTGCATGACTGGTAGTGATGCACACCTGCCAACATCTCTGAGCCTCAAACACCCCTCTGTGGGTCCCTCCTCCTGAATTCACAAGGCTGCTGCAGGGATAAATACACAGGCATCTGCCCCATCTCAACTCCCACTCTCCAAATGTTTGCTATTATGGTTTGCCAATTTGGATAGCCAATACCCCATACAACAAACATGTAAGGGCTTGCAGCAAAATCATTCAAGTAGTGTCTGGACCAGTTAAGAGAATATAGCTCAGGCTACTACCTTAGCTGGTCACCCTCTACCACCAAAGAGCAAGTATTTCCCCTTCCCATTCCCCCCTCCTCTTTTTTTTTTTTTTTTTTTTTGCGATAGGGTCTTGCTCTATCGCTCAGGCTGGAGTGCAGTGGCATGATCTCCGCTCACTGCAACCTCTGCCTCCTGGGCTCAAACGATCCTCCCACCTTAGCCTCTTGAGTAGCTGGGATTACAGGCATGTGCTACGATGCTTGGCTAATTTTTGTTAGTAGAGAGGTTTCACCATGTTGCTCAGGCTGGTCTCAAACTCCTGGGCTCAAGCGATCCATGGGCCTTGGCCTCCCAAGTGCTGGGATAATAGGTATGGGCCACCATGCCCAGCCACCCATCTCCCTTCTCTTGCCACCAAATGCCCTTAGGTAACTTAAGTCTTCATGACTTTCTCACCAATTACAAAAAGGCTTTATTATATTTTGCTAAATGTTAATTGCTTTCATTATGTCTCCAAACATTATTTCACCACTCATTTTTATAACAAGTTCAGTGAAGATATGCTTATCTAATATTGTACAATATTGTTGTGTTCTGTAACACTCTTGGGAACAGCTTAGATGTAGGTAACAAGAGATGCCTGTGTATGAAAGTGCTTCATAAACTGTACTGTATAAATGTAAACTACTACCATTTTCAGGTAAAATCAGAGAATAAATGTCTCTGTTGTTGGAAGTGTCCTCTCAGGACTCATCTAGTCCAACCTCCGCAGTGACTGGATGAGGGCACAGACTGAGGCCAGAGGCACGAGGCTCGGGATTGGAGAGTTAGAGGCCAACGCAAGGACAGAATCTGCATTCCTAGCACAGGGATCTTTCTCCTCCCCTGTGTAATTTATCTTTAAAAACACTGATACTTTTCTGGTGCTGGGAGCACCATGTCCTTTAAAATTTATAAATTAATGGATGATTACAACAAAAATAACTTTTTACCTAGCCCTCAATAAATAGTTGTTGGTGAAATTAGAAATTTGAGGTTGAATTGTTAAAGATCGTCTTGGTCACTCCTCTCTCGTGAAGAAACCCATCGACTCAGAATCACCTCCTGAAACCAATAAAAAAAAAAAGACCATTTCTTAAAACAGAAATGTAAGACCATTCCGGGTAGCTGACACCACAGCTACATTTCACAAAGAGCTGTCTATATAATGATGATACTGTTCCCATCTTTAAAACAGAAACATCTGGAGAAAATGAATGGAACAATATAAACCTTACAAGCATATAGTATCTACTTTCACCAGGCAAAGATTTTAAAGCTAAGCTTGCCTCTGCTGTGGTATTCTACCAGCACATTTCAGGAACAGGTGGGCTGGATGAAAGCTAGGATTTTACATTAGTGCTAGGTCTGTGATGGCATTGCCATAACTGGGCCAGCTACTGAGAAGGGAGAAATGAGGCTGATGAGCATTTTATGAAAAACTAGCCTAGTGGAGATAAGTGGGACCAACTGAAGGCAGGAGGTGCTGGGGCCCTGGAGACCACAGGTCTGCAGGGGGCAGGGTGGTGTGAAAAGAAGAAAGGGCGATGAGTACAAGAGAGGGTGACAACAATGACATACTGGATGTGGGGAGGAGCCAAAGGCAACATTAAGGCTCTACACAGAGGGAGGGAGTGCAGAAACACGGACACACACTAGACGACTCGGCCAGACCAGAGAGAAACCAGCCAAGATGACAGGAGGCACCTCGGTTCAGTACAGAAGCCCAGAAGCAGGAGAGAGTCAACAGGGACACCTCTGGTCTCTGGGAATGAGACCTGTGAGAGGTCCTGGCCTGACCAGGGGGTCACAGGCCACCTGTGAGACAGCAGTTTCAGCTGAGTGATGCGGACATCACAGGTAAAAAAGTGGGGAATCAAGGAAGAGTGGAAGTCAGCATAGATTTTGTGTCCAATGGTTCAGTGGGGAAAAGGTGAGACTTACAGAGCCTGCCTGAGAAGGCTTTGTTACCAAGGCAAGACTGTATTCATGTATTTTCTTGGGACCACATGTTCCAGATACACTATGATGCACAGAATCTTTCGGATGACATGAATTTCTCTCGGTTTACTCACCTGAACTTTAATTCTTTTCATACATTCTGGTGACTCCATTTCCTTATCAGTCATAGTTGAGGGTTTAATCAAATAGCACAGCATAAGTTCCTATTGAGAAATGAAAAACCACTTCTGTATCCTACAAAATAGTACAAATTTGGATGTATCAGCAGGAAATGCAGGTGGTCTCCAGTCCCTCTCACTGTGCACTCCAAGTGGAAACTCACAGACACATCAGTTTCCTCCTGGGGACATCATAACTGGGATTTACGTTCTAAGTACCTGCCATTTAGTAATCACTGAACATGGCAAGAGTTATAAGCAGATACATTCATTATAAACACAGCATTAAGAATACTAAATATAGTAAGTCCTCACTTAATGTCCTTGATAGGTTCTTCGACACGGACGTTAAGTGAAACGACACTGATACAGTTTGGCTCTGTCCCCAACCAAATCTCATCTTGAATTGTAGCTCCCACAATCCCCACGTGCCATGGAGGGACCTCGTGGGAGGTGATTAGATTATGGGGGACGGTCCCCATGCTGTTCTTGTGATGGTGAGTTCTCACGAGATCTGATGGTTTTGTAAGGAGCTTCCTCCTTCCCTCATCCTTGCTCCTGCCACCCTTTGAAGAGGTGCCTTCCACCATGATTTTAAGCTTCCTGAGGCCTCCCCCGCCGTGTGGAACTGGGAACTGTGAGTCGATTAAACCTCTTTTCTTTATAAATTACCCAGTCTCAAGTATTTCTTTATAGCAGCATAAGAATGGACTAATACACATGTACGGCAGGTCTTCAAATAAACTTCAACGTTGTGTTCTTATGATGAGAAGAAGAAATTGTTTTTGTATATGGTATTCGCCTAAAGTTGCAGTTTCCAAGAACATATCAACAATGTTAAGTGAGGACATATTAAGTATATGCTACGAGTCCCCTAAAATGGGCATAAAAACACTAGAAACAGTATAGGCTCCCTAATTTTCTACAGGACCAAGCTAAAGTCTAGGCAACCTAACCTGCTGTAAAGGGCAGTCATCTCCAGCCCTGCAAGACCCTCCGGCCTCAGCCCCACCTCACCTCCAGCAGCACGAGCACGAAATTAGAGGGTATGTACAATTTGTTCTCAGCCAGCAAATCACTGAGTAATGAAAACACACACAGCTTTCTTTCTTGATAGTCCTTGTGTAAGCTGAGTTCCTCCTATCTCTGATGGCAACAGAAAGGATATAGTGAAACACAAGCCAGGGAGCCAGAGAGCTGTGGGTTTGGATCCCGAGTCTGCACATGAGCTGTGTGATCTTGGATTACTCGCTCAACAGCTCCAACCTTGGTTTCTCATCCTCGGGATGAGGATAACAACAGGGTGGGAAAGTGCTTAGCAATAAATATCAAGTCCCTTCCTCTCTAAGAGATCTGCAAACTTTCAATGTTTTGGCTCCTTTGTGAATATGTGTATGAGTGAATGTTAAATTGCAGTATAAAACAGGCCACATAGCAACGATACCCCTGGGAAGAGAGGCAATGCCTACTCAGATCAGATCACCATGGGAAACTTCAAAGCTCAGTCATTGGAGCTCAGCAGCAGTTGGGAGGGAGGGGACAATAAAATGTAACGTGAAGGGAGGACAACTTCTAGCGCAATAAGGGAAGGGTACAAATGACCCCTGCCAGCATGTCACTGGCAGGAATGTTATGAAGGTTCTACAGGTAACTTTTTTGATTCTACTACATGTAAGAAAAAAAAAAAAAAATTGAACCATTTAAGTGACACTCCAATGGCAAAGCTGATGTTGTGTTACCTTAGAGACATTAACAGAAACTCTGCTCAAGGCAGCCAGGGACTTCCAACTGAAAGGCCTGCGGAGACAGCCTTCAAAATGGTCATCAACTAGCTCGATAATGACAGAATAACTGGAAAACACAGAAAAAGCATTTTAAAAGTAAGCATGAAATAAACCTGTTTTAAAAGAATATTATTTGTGCTACCAAGAACAAAGATACAGAAAATAAAATTTACATCATCTGATTCTAAATTCCCCTAAACTGCTATTGAGAAAATATTAATGAAAAATTCATACTTTAAGTTACAAACTTTCAGGCTGATTCCAACACTTACTTACAGCAAAAACCAACACGTATTTTTCCCAATGCGAAAGCTGTAAATTCACACAACTGTTTAGACACTAATACTAACTGATGTTTGTTTTGTTTTGTTTTTGAGACGGAGTTTCACTCTGTCGCCTAGGCTGGAGTGCAGTGGTGTGATATTGGCTCACAGAAACCTCCACCTCCCAGGTTCAAGCAATTCTCCGCCTCAGCCTCCTGAGTAGCTGAGATTACAGGTGCCCGCCACCACACCCAGATAATTTTTTTTGTATTTTTAGTAGAGACGGGGTTTCCCTATCTTGGTCAGATTGGTCTTGAACTCCTGACCTCATGATCCATCCACCTTGGCCTCCCAAAGTGCTGGGATTACAGGTGTGAGCCACTGCGCCCGGCCTAACTGATGTTAAGATGAACAATTACGGCACAGATTAACTCAATGTTTAACACTAGAACATATAGTATCATAAACTATATATCATCTTATATATAGTATAATGACATTAGTGTGTAAGGCATGAACATATAGTATCTATTCCTATCAGGCCAGGAAGAACATGACTTTTGTTCCTATGGCACCAAAAAATTAGAGGCCAGAAATTCCTTGTGTCCCTTGTGTCCCTTTAACCCATCAATTTATTTAAAAATCACTCCAAACCTTGCATGGTAAAATGGAGGGCCTTTCCGATACAGTACTGCAAAGAAGAAAGAAAAAAAAGAAGTATAACCACTCAAAATAACAAGAGAGGAATAAGACTCAATAAAAAGCTTGCTTTATTAATTTTTTTCTTTTCCAAAAGGAGGCAAATATTCAATTACCTATATGTAGATAGATAAATCTGCAATATGCCTTGGGGTCTATTTTTTCAGACAGGGTCTTGCTCTGTCACCCAGGCTGGAGTGCAGTGGCATGATCCTGGCTCACTGCAGACTTGACCTCTTGGGCTCAAGCAATCCTCCTCACTCAGCCTCCTGAGTTGCCAAGACTACAGGCGTGCACCACCACACCCAACTAATTAAAAAATTTTTTTTTAGCAACAGCATCCCCCTATGTTGCCCAGGCTGGTCTTAAATTCCAGTGCTTGAGTGATCGTCCTGCCTCAGACTCCCAAAGTGCTGCGATTACAGGTGTGAGCTATCACACCCAGCCCCGTCATCTATTTTTAAAATCCAAACTTATTTTCCTGAAACAAAGTGCAATTAGTAAAGAAATCTGTTGCCAAGAGCCTAACACCTCATCCCACCCTACAAATAAATTTCAAAGTCAAAGTACAGGCAATCTTGCCTTGCTTCCTGTCTTACACTCTCCAGAGTGAGTGTGAATCATACTGAGTGTAAAATTCATAGAATGTGCATCAATATTTTGTTATTTATTTGAGATCAATGTAATGCAGTGTCTGACTCGCTACTCTGGCCAGCTACTGTGACAGGGGTTGGTAAAAGAGAGGAGTAAGACTCATGCCTATTTTGAAGAAATTCAAAGTCAAGTGATAGAAGTCACAATCATACATTCCACTCAAGTATCAGTTTGTTCCACTATTGAGGACCTGAAGGAGATGGGGGAATTCAGTCTGTGGAGTTTGAGAGCCACTCAGTGAAGGAGCCTGGGGCCAGGGACTCTGCCACATAGACTCTGGAATCTGGCAGGGAACCCTTCAGAGGCACATGGTCTGTGGCAGGTACTGGCTAACTGTTCATCAAATCCACTTATCTCTCCCCCAGGTACATGGCCAGACCACAGCTCTCAGTCAGTCTCCTGTGCAGTTAGGTATGGCCAAGTGTTGTGTGACACTTCCAGGCTGACCCGTAAAACCCTCCCTTATACAAACCCTCTCTGTGTCGCTTTCTTTCTGAGGGTGACTTTTTTTTTTTAAACTTTTTTTTTTTTTTTTGAGACAGAGTCTCGCTCTGTCGCCCAGGCTGGAGTGCAGTGGCGCACAGTCTCTGCTCACTGCAAGCTCTGCCTCCTGGGTTCACGCCATTCTCCTGCCTCAGCCTCCCAAGTAGCTGGGACTACAGGTGCCTGCCACCATGCCCAGCTAATTTTTTGTATTTTTTTTAGTAGAGATGGGGCTTCACCGTGTTAGCCAGGATGGTCTCGATCTCCTGACCTTGTGATCCGCCCGCCTCGGCCTCCCAAAGTGCTGGGATTACAGGCGTGAGCCACCACGCCCGGCCTGAAGGTGACTTTGGAAGCTGTGTGCTGAAGACTGGGAGCCACCAGGAAGCAGTTCCTAAAGCATCTTTTGGAGTTGATTGGGCCGCCAATCAGAGACAGCCGTGTTGGATTTCACATGAACAAAAATGAACTCTATTGTTAAGCCCCTGAGACTTGGGGTTTCTATGCAACTACAGCTATGGGAATAGCCATAACGAACACAATTACATCTGTAAGCTGTTAGCTGTCCTCTGTGCTAAAACCAGCACAGGAAAGTTCAAGGAAAAGTTTTGTTTCCCTTGAGGAATGGATAGAATTTTCCTTTTTGGACAGATCAATCCTGTAATCATGTTTCTCTTTGGCTCAGGAAGCTCAGAGTCAAATTTGTAGCATGACTTTAGTAACCATATAGGACCCCAAGGGCGACACAGTAACCCTTCACTTAGTCTTGTTTCACATCTACATTTTCCATGGTCACGTTTCCTTTCTGTATTTCCTATTTAAGTTGTATTTAAAGAACTCGGCAAGTCAGCTCAAATTCACTGCGGCACAAATCTAAGTAAATATCCAAACATACAATTCTCAACTTTTTGAGATGGAGTGTACTGGAAAGAAACCATGTACTGGAATGAAAGTGAACTCAGGAGTTTTGTTCCCTGCCCAATCTTTGCCTCCTCAAGTTGTGTGCCTTTAAGCAAGTTATTAACTTCTCTGAGCCTTGGTTTCCAAAATCCTAAAATGAAGACATCAAGGGAAATTGAGATCTTTTCTAGTCCTCAAATGCCATTACCTGTAATCAAACACACATCATTAATCCAATATGCACCTGGAGCATTACAGAGCTTGAAAGTAGCTCACACCCACAAAGCAAGTAATTTCTGACGACAGACTCCGACACAGCACAGCTTAGTTTAAGCAAGAACACCGGCAGTAGACGGACCCAAGGTCAAGTCAGCAGTGCCAAGACCATGGGACAACTCTGCATGTCAATTTCGTTATAAAAAATGGGGGTTATGCTGAAGACAGAAGTATTAGCACAGTATATGGCATAAACTAAGTATCACAAAGTTACCTATGCTAGTAACATTTACAGTCTGTGTGGATTAATGACGAGGATACATTCTAAGATATGAGTCCTTAGGCAATTTCATTGTTGTGTAAACATGGTAGAGTGCACTTACACAAACCTAGACGGTACAGCCCACCACACACATAGGCTATGTGGTATCACTTATTGCTTCTAGGCTACAAACCTGTTCAGCATGTGATTGTGCTCAATCTGTAGACAATTATAACACAATGGTTAAGTATCTGTGTATCTAAACATAGAAATGGTACAGTAAAAATACGATATAAAAGCTAAAACCCGTACACCTGTATAGGGGACTTACGAATGCAGCCTGCAGGTCTGGAAGTTGCTCTGGGTGAGTGAGTGGTGAGTGAATGTGAAGGTCTAGGACAGTACTGTGTGCTAATGAACACTTTATAAACACTGTACACTTAACCTGCACTAAAGTTATTTAAATTTTTTTTCTGTCTTTAGGTTTTTTTTTTTTTTTTTTTTTTTAACATATATATAGAGACATGGCCTACCTATGTTGCCCAGGCTGGTCTTGAACTCCTGGGCTCAAAGGATCCTCTTGCCTTGTCCTCCCAAAGTGCTGGGATTACAGGGGTGAGCTGCCACGCCTGGTATCCTTTTTCAATAATAAATTAACCTGGCTGGGTGCAGGTCAACAAACAATGAACCATGATGGATATGACCATGGTCCCATTAGATTATAACAGAGCTGAAAAATCCCTATCACCTAATGACATCGTAGCCATCGTGCTGTCGTAGTGCAACACATTATTTGCATGTTTGTGGTGATGCTGGTGTGAACAAACCTAGTGCACTGCCATTTGTATAAAAGTTATTTGACCGGCCAGGTGTGGTGGCTCACGCCTGTAATCCCAGCACTTTGGGAGGCCAAGGCAGGTGGATCACGAGGTCAGGAGATTGAGACCATCCTGGCTAATGTGGTGAAACCCCGTCTCTACTAAAAATATTAAAAAATTAGCCAGGCGTAGTGGCGGGCGCCTGTAGTCCCAGCTACTCCGGAGGCTGAGGCAGGAGAATGGTGTGAACCCAGGAGGTGGAGCTTGCAGTGAGCAGATTGTGCCACTGCACTCCAGCCCGGACGACAGAGCGAGATTCCGTCTACCAAAAAAAAAAAAAAAAAAAAAAAAAAGTTATTTGACCAAAATGTTAGGCAGCACATGACTGGATGATGGTGGTAGTGTACTCAGGGGGAAAAATGAAATTGTTTTACAAAAATACCTGAAAGATGAAAGCATAAGTAGTCTGAGAAATAGTAGGCATTTAAAAAAAGATCTGAGGGCCGGACACAGTGGCTCACACCTGTAATTCCTGCATTTTGGGAGGCTGAGGTGGGTGGATCACTTGAGGCCAGGAGTTCCAGACCAGCCTGCCAACATGGTGAAACCCCATTTCTACTAAAACTACAAAAAAAAAAATTAGCTGGGCATGGTAGTGCACTCCTGTAGTCCCAGCTACTTAGGAGGCTGAAGTGGGAGGATCATTTTAAACCTGGGAGGTTGAGGCTGCGGTGAGCTGAGATTGTGCCACTGCACTCCAGCCTGGCGGACAGAGTGAGACCTTGTTTCAAAAACTACATAAATAAATAAAAGTAAATATAAGGTCTGAAAGAACAGGGAATATAAAAGGAAAGCTCTTTCTTACAGAAGAATGCCAGATGGAGGTGTGGAATGAAAAACAGCTACTTACGGTATCACTCCACAAATGACTTGTTTTTTACAAAAGGAAAACTGTAATTATATGACAGACATTGACAACGGCCACCATCAAACTTAGCATCACCACAGCAGGAAAACCTGACTTCAAGCACTTCCTGACACACTCCAATAAGCACACACATCACCTATGTGTGCCGAGAGAACCTGAGCTTGAGTCTGATCATCAGGAACAATCAGACATACAGAGAATGGGGAACATCCTAAAAGACATTGAAAAAAGTAACGTCATGACAAACAAAACAAGAAGTTAGAGTGACTGTGTCAGATTGAAAGAAGCTGGGCACAGTGGCTCATGCCTGTAATCACAGCACTTCAGGAGGCTGAGACGGGTGGATAACCCGAGACCAGGAGTTCGAGACCAGCCTGGCAAACATGGCAAAACCCCGTCTCTACTAAAAATACAAACGTTAGCCCAAGCACGGTGGCAAGCACCTGTAATCCTAGCTACTTAGGAGGCCGGGATTCGCCTGAACCCGGGAGGCAGAGGTTGCAGTGAGCGGAGATCGTGCCACTGCACTCCAGCCTGAGCGACAGAGCAAGACTCTGTCTCAAGAAAAGAAAAAAAAGAGAGAACAGAGATTGCAGTGGGTTTAATGGCAGCTCCCAGAAAGATATGTTCATGTCCTAATCCCTGACTTGTGAATGTGACCTGGAATGTGGAATGTGACTTGGAAGAAGAGTCTTTGCAGATGTAACTAAGCTTAGAATTTTGAGATGAGA